GCAGGGCTACACTCTACGAGGTAAAGACTACTGTACCAGATGCCATAGTGACAAACAAGGGGGCCACAGAAGATAGGTAGAATAGGTCAGTGAGGGTTGGAGGCCACCATCATCATCTTGGGGGGAATGATTGCAGTCCGCAGGGAGAAGGTGGACCCATTATTGACCGGTGGTGGAGGTCTCTCAGGTGCTCCAAGCTCCCTTCCCACCTCTACTGCACCTGTCTCACAAGACTCCCCATCTGGTCTCTCCCTCCCATCTAGCCCTTGTCTAAATACATAACTCTGATGAGACATATCAGCCTCTCACAACATTACACTTGTGAAATCCAAAACCCCGAGGAGTGTAACCCTGAAAGAATGTCGGGTCAACTCCTTCCCCGGCCATATTGTGTTGGTGATCACGTCTCCTGGACACTCTTCCCCTCTCCTATATGTCACCACAGTCATGTCCTGCCCATATCGTACCCTTTTGAATATATAACAGGTAAACGCTTACCCAGTAGCATACTTTAATTCATCCTGCTGATACTGGTCATTTTATATTTACATTCTATCCTAACCCAACCCAAACCTAACCAAGCTAATCCATAAGGAAACCAAAACCAAAAAACCTAGTCAAACCTTTCTTAACGATATTTAGTTTATCAAATTAGAAACCAGGCTGCGTGCGCTATGCCTGTGTGACCGTTCTCTCAGTGTACCAGTGGGGAAGTGATTGAGTGATGAAAAGTAACCCACCCAGGAGGTGACACGGGCATGAATAACCCGTAAGTAATAGATTTTTGGAGTAAATGTGATCTTTGGTGGCAGAAGTGAAGATAGTGCCCCTTCTTATGTTTTTCTGTGGGACTTATCTAGGGCAAGTTGGTAGCGTCTAAGAATATCCATAATGAAGAACGTTAGAAGGCGTCTGTCCATTCGCCTAACCTGTTTGTGTAGTAACGGCCGCGCTTCTTGCTCGGTCGCCGTTCTATCCCTGATGCTTTAATGTGTAGGGCACTCTACCTTCACACATCCCTGTCCAGGTGGTGCAGGTGGTGCGCGGTCTACTGTGTTGGGGGTGTGGTCCATGATGGAGCATGTGTACCACGGTGTATAAAAGGAGATATGGCGAGCAGGATACAATGGCAGTATAAACGTATATTGCACAATTCAACTCTCACATACGGTGGCCCTTGTAATGCAGGCAGGCAGGCGCGTTCGCTCTATTACATATCTGGCCCTTTACGTGAATTTCTTTCCATACTAAAGCTCCTGCAGACCTGATCCTCATTACGTCCTGATGATTACGAACAAAGGGTGTGATGAAAACTTTCCTAATTCAGTGAAGATCACTAAGCGTCGCTGATCATCCAGCCAGTCTTCACTATCTGATACTGTGTTACATCAGTTGTGTCTCGCCAGGAACGTTCCAGCACAAAAAATTCTCCTGAATCAACAACATTCTCTAAGCTTAACAACGTTCAAGCTAACATGAACATGCAACTCTTTCAACATGTATGATACATAATGTCTCTCATTTATTTAAACCTAAAATAATTATATTTAATATATAACCACTCATAAACGACAACAGAGGTGCACGCACACACACTCTTCCACGCACACACACACACACACTTTTCCGCCCCAAAAATTGGATGACGGCTAATGTAGTCCCGATATTCAAGAAAGGGGAATAGACAAGAGGCATTTGAACTACAGGCCAGTGTCCATAACTTGCATACCATGCAAGTTGATGGAGAAGATTGTGCGAAAAAAGCTTGTGGAACATCTGGAGCGAAAGAACTTCGTATCACAGCATCAGCATGGGTTCAGGAATGGCAAGTCCTGCCAAACAGGATTAATTGAATTCTACGATCAGGCAACAAAAATCAGGCAAGAGAGGAGTGGGCAGACTACATGTTTTTGGATTGACAGAAAGCCTTTGACGCATTACCACACAAGAGGCTAGTGAAAAAGCTGGAGATGCAGGAAGGAGTGAAAGGGAAGGTACTCTATTGAATAAGGGGAGTACCTAAGTAACAGAAAACTGCGAGTTACTTGCCAATACACCTCAGATTGGCAAGGCGTCACCAGTAGAGTCCCGCAAGGTTCAGTACTTGGACCTATATTGTCTGATATATGTAAATGATCTCCCAGAGGATATAGACTCGTTCCTCTCATTGTTTGCTGATGACACAACAATTATGAGGAGGATTAAGACAGATAGTAGGAGGCTACAAGATGACCTAGACAAACTGAATGAATGGCCCAACAAATGGCTACTAAAGTTCAACCCAAGTAAATGTAAGGTAATGAAACTAGGCAATGGAAACAGGAGGTCAGACACAGGATGCCGAATGGGAGTTGAAGTCCTTCACGAACGGACAGAGAGAAAGATCTAGGAGTTGATATGACACCAAACCTATCTCCTGAAGCCCACATAAAAAGAATAACATATGCGCCGTATGCAACGCTAGCTAACATCAAAACTGCTTTCAGGAACCTGTGCAAGGAATCATTCAGAACCTTGTATACCACATATGTAAGACCAATCGTGGAGTATGCGGCCCCAGTATGGAGCCCGTACCTTGTCAAGCACAAGACGAAGCTGGAAAAAGTTCAGAGGTATGCCACTAGGCTAGTCCCAGAACTAAGAGGCATGAGTTACGAGGAAAGGCTGGGTGAAATGCACCTTACTACACTGGAAGAAGAGTAAGAGGAGACATGATCACAACCTACAAAATTCTCAGAGGACTGACAGGGTAGATAAGGATAAACTGTTTAACACGGGTACGCGAACAAGGGGACACAGGTGAAAATTGAGTACCCACATGAGCCACAGGGACGTTAGAAAGAACTTTTTCAGTGTCAGAGTAGTTAACAGCTGTAATACATTAGGAAGTGATGTGGTGGAGGCTGACTCCATACACAGCTTCAAGTGTAGATATGATAGAGCCCAGTAGGCCCAGGAATCTGTACACCAGTTGATTGACAGTTGAGAGGCGGGGCCAAAGAGCCAGAGCTCAACCCCCGCAAGCACAACTAGGTGAGAAAACACACACACACACACACACACACACACACACACACACACACACACACACACACACACACACACACACACACACACACACACACACACACACACACACAACCCTCTCCCATTACACAGAGAGAAATCACATTATGGTGATAGATAATGAACACGGCTCCCGTGGATATGTTCCTCACCCATCCCACGTCACTGAGCGCCATACCCGTCACACTATTTAGTGACTCCTTGCGACTTGTATTTTAAATATCCCTGCCACCCCAGTAGATTTACGGACTATTTATGCCGTGCCACCTCTTGGGTGACTTAATCTTCATCAATCAAGCTGTATTAACTGTGTGGAGGTGTGACTGGGTCACTGCGAGAGAAGCAGACATTACGGCAAGATGGAAGGTAAGCCTTGGCGTGTGGTGCCGTGGGTGGCTCCTGGCGACGGACCACACGCTTAGCTACAACTACCACCATCTCCTTATTTATATATTTAGAAACGATAAAAATAAATAATAAAATCTAGTAATAAATAGGTGAAATTCAACAATTGGAAATGGAATACATTAGGCTGGTCACTAAGTGTATCTGGTGTTGTGAGCGTCATACAACTAAGACAATATTATCACCACAACTACCAGTGGCCTCCAACACTAACTTGTCCCTTCTCAGATCATTAACACCTTACTACACGATTTATAAAATTAGTTGTATGTTATTTTTCTTTGAAGTAATTATGTGTGTAATATATGTGCGAGTTCAGCACCCGAGACTGCTTCTTATTATACTAAATGTCAGATAATGGCGAATAAAGGTTTTCCCTCTGTAGTAGAGCGAGACTGTCACGGTCGATGGACCACATCTGCAATTATAATTAATTAGGCGCCCCCCCTAACTCCTGCTGGCCGCCCCTACTTGACCTGGCAAGAACGTCTCCTATACTGATTTCCTTCACTTAGATTACTAAGGTTTCCAGGGCGTACACGGCAGGGGCGGCTACACACACCACCACATGAGTCACAGCCAGACACACAGGAGCTGTACCACTGGCCCTCGTGACGAGCCTCGTGTATCATGATGATGACACATGAGGAGGCACTCAATACTCTTGTTATAAGCTTCTGGTTATGTGCAAGTGCTCCGAGGTCGAGATACAAGGCCGCCACAACTCGAGGTTTGAAGATCCAAAGGACAGTGACCAGGATGATATAACATAAAAGCAAGTACAGTATTATAACTAGTACCATGTGTGAAGCTTGGGCCGGGAGGGGAAGGGGGGGGGGGCAGGGCACGTGCCTTATTAAAAAATACCAGTGCATGAGGCTGGTGGACCTCCACAGCCTGGTGGACCAAACTCTCACAAGTCAAGCCTGGCCTCGGGCCGGGCTTGGGGAGTAGAAGAACTCCCAGAACCCCATCAAGCAGGTATCAACCAGGCTGTTGGACACACACACGGCCCCAGCGGTGACATTCTGCATAAGGGAATCGTCGTCAGTTATACGGACACTTCCACAAGACTCATGTACAGTGCTACAGACACCGCGGGGGCTTCTCATAGTCGATATATTTAAACTGCTCATAGTGGCATCAAGGTTTGTACAAAATTAACCAAAGCTATGTTAATGATTGATGAAGATTAAGCCACCCAAGAAGTGGCACGGGCATGAATAGCCCGTAATATGTTAATGACACCAAAGTAATATTAATAACAGTACAGACTGTTCTTGTTCAAATCGTACAGATAATATTATGTCACACATTGATTACAGGTTAATTAATTCAGTGTTAGATAAACTCAAACAGAGACACGGGTTAAAGCAAAAAAAAAAACGAAAATCTGTTCAATCGTGTATTAAACATGTTAATAGCGGTAAACAAATGCCAAATTATGTCGTTGTGAATTATAAAAAAGCGTGTTAAGAAACCCGTTGACTGTTAATCATGTGAACATGTCTCTGCCGGGGCTGGGTTACCTTAGGCTTTTCGAACTTGCTCTTCATTTTGGAGGCATCGAAGGAGCGGACGCGAGGCCCAACGTGCTTGGCAAGCAGGTCATCGCGGTATTGGTAAGTCGCCTTCTACACCACGGGAAGATGGTACAGGGTCAGGGTACAGTCACCACACTAACATTACGTCAGTCGGGCCAGGGCAAGGCCAAAACACCTCGTTTACAATGGGAAAGTATATTATATATATATATATATATATATATATATATATATATATATATATATATATATATATATATATATATATATATATATATATATATATATATATATGTATAAACCCAAAACCTAATAATTGTCGAAGAAAACTTGAAGATGCTCGTCGTCTTAGATAATGACAAAATACTATTCTATGAAAAACAAGACAATGTTTGTCATAAAATACTGTCGATCACAAGCAAGCTATACAGGTCAAGCGTAAGTAAAGTCATTACAGAAAATGAGGCATAATATCAGAGGAAACTGAGATAATGTCAATATCATAAGAAGAAGAGCCATTTACCGTAAACAGAAAAAGCAGATCAAATTTATACCAAGTAAAGAGAACTTAAAAAGTAGGTAAACACATTTGTTTTCCTTCAGGACATTTAAGAATTCAGAAAGATAAAGGTCTAATATTAACTTAAAGCACAAATAACACTAAGAATTTTTTAAATATATAGCTATAGCTATAAGATGTTAAGTTTACTTTTTATATCTAGGAAACTGTGTTTATATTATAAGCATGATGAAACGTAGAGAGGCCCAACTGCCCATAATAGTAATAATACTACAGATTAGTCCTTAATATACCTTACAGACAACGCCAGGAGCCCATCTCAATAAATTATGCTTCTCATACATTAAAAAAAACATCACTATGGGAAAACTTGAGTCATGATTATGTTTACACGTCTCTTGAGAATACCTCCTGGAGCGCCTTGGACTGGCTCTGTGCTCCTCAACCAACTTATTTATATACATAAATAATAATTAACACACACACACACACACACACACACACACACACACACACACACACACACACACACACACACACACACACACACATACCTTGAAATGCCAACAATTAATCATACAAGAAGCCTAACTAAACTGAATTCAATTTAACAAAATCTGGAAGAGAATTATTAACAAAAGTTGAAAAATAGGTGGATGTTTTACCATCTGAAATAAAGTTAAAAAGTCAAATATTAGAAAATAGAAAATAAATATAAATGATACAAATCACCTTAAAACTCAAGTGTAACAAGAAAACTTACATTATATCATAATAAAATATTTCGCCTGATGTATATACAGATATTTGAATAAAATATTTCCGTTTATTGGATTTTTCAGGTTTGTTTACCAAGTTATACATTGATAACATCTTCAGTAAAACTTCGATGTTATCAAAATGTTTATGTAGCTTACGGCACTAGACACTGAACTATGATAACAGGATATAAAGTTTTATATCCCTGCTAGGCTAGGACAGTCTTGTATCAAGTGTAATTGGTCAGAACAATTATCTTGCACTGAAATTTAGTTACATCTATTTATTATATTTTTACATAAATCATCAATGTTGAAAGATGCAGCACATTACCGGGCAATGTTAATTATTTTCACCTTAGCCTGACTGGGAGTTGCATAACACAACAAGGAAAGTCCTCGCCCGGTGCCATATACTTACATGGGTTAGCCATACAACAATATTTCTTCTCTTAATTTCTTGGGAAGAAAGTTAAATATGTCAAGTAGCGTAAATTTCAAAGCCAAAGCCTTGCATAAGTTCAGCATTACAAGTAGTACCAGAATAGAAGCTTGTTAATGAGACGCGCTTGGTGGGATCACCATGAAGTTTGCCTTTCATTTTTAGCGGTGGCGTGTAGTGACTACTGCTGCCAGCCGCCCTCCCTGCTGCCTCAACATGTCCACCATGCACGCCACACTACTGGCCTGGCTCACACTCTCATCCCATCCACTAAGGCTCTTCTCAACTGTCAAAGCTTTACTAGTGCCATAACATTGTTCAACTTTTTTTTTAAGCTGATGATATGTATCTTAGAGAACTAATGTTACATCTATATTCATCACACTAACTCTGTTACGAGCCTTCACGGCGTGGCGACTCCTGAAGGGACCATCTAATTCATAAAATCCACTCTACAAGAATAAATTTCCACAATGACATATTTCTCACTATGTAACTCCCTTCTATATACATACGACCATTTCTATATACATTACTCCCATTCATATATCTGTAACGCATAATATATTCTTGTCACTAAGAACTTTAGGGGAATTACAAAATATTTCAAAACTGACTATGAATACCAAATGGGGTTGTGTCTATATATATATTAATATTTCTTAAAGCATTTAACATAGGCCTACCCTGACCAGCCTAACTCCATCCCATACCCCCAGACCATCCCCCCCCCCCTGTAAAGCTGGGCGATCCTATTCCAAAGCATCTGGCCTCCACTCTTATAGTGTTACAGTGTGTGTATATGTGTACATTATATGATTACATATATATATATATATATATATATATATATATATATATATATATATATATATATATATATATATATATATATATATATATATATATATAAATATATATATATATATATATATATATATATATATATATATATATATATATATATATATATATATATATATATATATATATATATATATATATATATATATATATATAATCATTCGCTTGCACCAACGGAGCCCCGAACCCAGGACCACAAACACGGAATCCTGTAATCCAACTTCAATCCGATGTTTCGTATTCATTCGCAACCTTCTTCAAATATGTCAACCATACTATGAGCCTATGAGTACCCACAATAAGGAAGGATCCCAAAGGCACCTAACTGGTCTCCAACTGTGATTTCAAAGCCTTCCCTGGCGGGGCTTTGAAATAATTACCCGCATTATTATGGCAAACCATAATAATGTGGGTAATAACATTTCATTCACTTCGACCTTTCCCATGTTGGGAAGTATGTTTGGTTGGCTTTAGCTTTAGTGGTCCCGGGTTAGGTTTTAGGGGTTCAAAAAAATTTTTACAATCACTGCCATATAGGTGTAATTTTCTGTCCTCAGAGAGCAACTATTTCCACAATTGGTAACGACAGTGTTGCTATTAAATTTCTGAAGGTATCAAGCTCAGAATAGCCTAAATTTATAAATATAATACACTATATACAATTCTGCTAACTACATGTTTGAGTGATGGTCTCACACACACACACAATAAACACAGTGGACGAGTGTTCATGCATGACAAAAAGACGCGAGGCAAAAACATCCATAAACAAGTTCTTTTTACTGTGGTGCTTCGGAGGCGGGTCAGACGACCTGCTTGAGCTGGGGCATCGCTACACCTCCACCACAAGAATACCCCCCTCACCAGGGGGGTATTCGTATCCGTGTAGATTACACAAAGTGGGTGTCTGGTATTATCTTATTGCTTCTTAATTACAATTATTACTTAACCTATACCGTTGATAGGTTAAGTAATAATTGTAAATAAGAAACAATAAGATGCTTATCTTAACATACTAAGAAGGTTAGGTGAGGTCAGTGTTTTCTATGAAGCTTTTCAAGGTAAACTAAAATATTCACAATCAATTAGTATGTCACATATGCACTTATTAAATAAGCCAATATTGATTGTAAGCAAGTGCGAGAACGTGTTGCATAAATATTAGGTACCTAATGTGTACTATACCCAAGTACTAGGTAGGCGTCCCACATCTGTAATATACACTAGGCGAGTGCCCTCAAGGTGGCGTGCCCAAGAGTGTGTTAAGAGTGTGCGCACAAAAGGGTTGTCATGAGGTGAAGTGCAGTAGAGGCTGTAGTGATGTCCTCCGTGGGGGAGTATGTTGCGCGCTACTGCCTAGTGTAGATCTGCTTCCCTAGTGTAGAGCACATTAGGTGTAGAGTGGAGGGGAGCAGAAGGTACTCACCATGTGCGACACGGACACGCCTGTGCAGATGTTGCGTTGTATGGGCACCTCAGGAGGCGGGGGTACGGGCCCCACGAACGTCGCACACTACAACAACAACATTCGCTACAGCATAACGCTACATCTGAACGCTTCTTGTACAATAAACATGAAATACATTCCATGAATAATTATATTCTAACTCTACACTTAAGAAACTAAAATGACAATAATTATATTGTGCAGCCACAATTTGTCATGCGAAACACTGATGAATAAGTTACATTTTAATGTTAAAGAATGTAGTTTATAAGGCAAAAAACGGTAACTTCAAAATCATGTTTTTCTTCACATCCCTATACAGAACCTACTCCATTGACCATGCAACTACATCACCATTAAATCACTACTTGTGTTGAATTCTGTACCAAACAGTATTTTACTTACGGATACTTTACTGTGCAATATTACGTCAGTAAAGGTAGACATGACCCGAGTGCCATCAGTAAGCTTATAATAATATATAACACTGAAGACTAGTCTCCTGACACTGACGTCCTCACCTCGTCTCTACTGGTAGTCGTCACTCTGTACACAGGCGCCAGCGTCTGGACTTGATTGGATTTTGGATTTTGTTTTCAGAATTGATAGAGTGGATAAACGGGAATTCAGATTGATTTTACGGAACTCCTATCATCCATTCCTCAATACTGGACTAAATAATAACTAAAATAAAAAAATTAAAGTTGTCCATCATATGGTCACAAAAACCTTCTGAGTGCTACAGTTATATTTAGACTTCATGAAATATGAACATGAACTTAGTGGATAACTCCTAAATGAAGAGGTTTGCAATGTCCAAATCTTTATATTTAGTTTTAGTAAGCACTTGGTGAGCATAATTCACATGGGAATACTTGTAAACTCCCGCAGATGAGCTGTGCAATGTATTCCATGACCACCAAAGGTACAATGTGACGTCTGTGTCATATATGCATCAAACTTGTTTTTTCTCAGACAAGAAATATGGTGTAAAAAGTCTGAGCATGACTAATTGCAGACAATAATGTAATTCTATGCTACTCTCCATACCCAGTCTCACATGGCTACTCTCCATGCCCAGACTTCTCATGCAAACTACTATACACGGGTACCTTACATGCTACCAACTGTCTATAAGCCTAACTAATGACTACTAATTATCAGATTACCTGGCGCCTCTCATCCAAATTTACCTACTGCCCTGCGCCACACAACTGTTCAAAATTATTAGCGCCACATTATGCACAACTACTTAGCTACGCAGACACGTGAACTATAGTATAACTCAGGCCTCAGTGCACCTACAAATACGGAATGATGCGATTTTCAACAGGTAAATACTCCAACATCAGGGAGTATTCTCAGGTGTCTAACTAGATATTGGGGTCTGAGCGTATGACTTGACATAATGTGATGGTGTGAGCATGTGACTGGTGCAATGTGATGGTGTGAGCGTGGGACTGACGTAATGTGATGGTGTGAGCATGAAACCAATGTAATGTGATGGTGTGAGCATGGAACCAATGTAATGTGATGGTGTGAGCGTGGGACCGATGTAATGTGATGGTGTGAGCATGGGACTAATGTAATGTGACGTGGACCGTAATACCAATGTGCGAAGAGTTTGAGCTGGCACCAAAATAACGGGGCGTAATTAGGTGGTTCTAAGTATTTTAAGAACGTAATAACGAGTTGATAATATTCAACAGCGCAATAAAAGGGTGCGTGCGTTACTGACTCAATACTATACCAGAAGAAATACATGGTTGTACATGAATAACCCGGGTGCATGGCTCAAGATTATAGGAAACAACGGATCCAGTGGGGGAAAAATTATAGTTTAAATTAGCGTATTTAATTTCCGATGGTGTATCAGTGTCATAGAGGCATATATATAAATTGTATTTTATGTGAGATGGATGAAGGGGTGTATTAGGACCACAGAAGGTCCAAGAAGGCTTAATGTCTCATATGAGTACCAGTTTAGTACTATTTGGATTCTTCCTTACTGCGGGCATTCAGTGATCTGGTTGCTAGGACAACGGTCTTTTACTTGAGACCAGAAATCGATAGTCACAGTCCATAGATTAGATTGGTTGCTGGAAAAAGGTTTACGGCGAAAAGGATTCAAGGTCAGATAATAAATAATCATTGCAGCAGTTGGGATGCAGTGAAGCAGTGCTAGAAAAAGCGTGAATGGAGCATCTACGCAATATACAGAGTGCTGAGTGTGCTCTAGTGTGGCGCATCATGGAGGTGAGGCACATTGCAGGAATGTGGCCAGGTGGTTGGTGTATTTACAGTATACAGCGGGAGCTCTTATTAAATCGTGAAGTAAAGTGTGTTGATAGAACTTACGAGGCGCGCGACGTTGGCCTTAGTGATGTAGGGTTCGTGGCGTCCACCACCGCCTTCGGTCGACGCCATACCTGGGGGCTCACAGAGTCGGGCTTGGTCACAATAGCTGCGACGCTGCACCAACAACCAACACAGGTATCGTGGCCATGAAAGGTCACACCAAAAAAACAGTTCAGAAGTCAGCCAAGTTCATCCCATACGCAGGGATCCGTCCGTTCATCACGAGCAGCACAATAAACGAGAGCAATGTATGAGTTATTAAGAAAAATGCTGAACACACTACTGTCATATGTACTAGGCAAGCTACTATCTACGAGCATTTATTTCGACACATCTAATTTGTACAATCGTCTTCACAATTATAACAAAATGGTTAGCTATCTAGTAACTAAATACAACATTATGTGCCCTAAGTGTTGAAGACGAACACATCACCCTAGACACGACAGTACTGTCTGACCAACAACGCAGCGCTACATCTCAAGTCAACTTAGCATTACAGTATATCGAACATTACTAATGGATGAACACCGGTCTCTACCGTCCTCTAAAAACAATTCTGCAGCATAGGGGACAACACCGGTCACTGGGGGGCAGCACTGCACTTTATAGGACAACACAACTGGGGACAACACTAGCTTATGGAACAACAAAGTCACTGGGGACAACACTGCAGTTTATGGAACAACAAAGTCACTGGGGACAACACTGCAGTTTATGGAACAACAAAGTCACTGGGGACAACACTGCAGTTTATGGGACACCAGTCACTGAAGACAACACTGCAGCTTATGGGACACCACCAGTCACTGGGGACAACACTGCAGCTTATGAGATAACAACAGTCACTGGGGACAACACTGCAGCTTATGAGATAACAAGTCACTGGGGACAACACTGCAGCTTATGAGATAACAACAGTCACTGGGGACAACACTGCAGCTTATGAGATAACAACAGTCACTGGGGACAACACTGCAGCTTATGGGACACCACCAGTCACTGGGGACAGCAGTGCAGCTTATGGGACACCACCAGTCACTGGGGACAACCCTGCAGAGTATGGGACAACACTGTAGCTTATGGAAAATACCAGTCGCTGGGGACAACACTTCTGTTTATAGGGCAACACGTCATTGGGGGGACAAAACCGGTCACTGGGGGACAACATTGCTGTTTATAGGATAACACGTCACTAGGGACAACACTGCAGCTTATGGAACAATAGTCGCTGGGGACAGCACTACAGCTTATAGGACAACACCAGTCACTGGGATAATACTGCAGTTTATTGAGCAATACGTCACTGGGGACAACACTACAGTATGCACTCAACACAAGACCTCGTGCTCTTTAGAAAAGAACAGTTTCATATTTTATATTTAGTCAACAATGGGCACAGAATTAAGTCTCCATGACGTTCCAAGGTCAAGTATCGTCTATTGAGGTCGTCTTTTTTTTCGGGCCTTCTTGGGGGTCACGTCCTGTCACTGGTTACGGTGGTCTTTCTGGGGTTGTCACATTATCTCGAGGGTCATCCTCGCTCCATTGGTGTGTTAAATCATCTTCCTGGGGTCAGTTTGTTGTGAAATAAAGTTTGTTCTGGGACCAAGTCTTGTCTCGGGTCTGTTAATATCTCGAGGTGGCTCTGTGGTCTTGTCTGTTGGGATTCCAGTCAAATCTTGTCTTCTGGTGTACCTAATGACAGCATTACCAAGTGTTTAACGGAGACTCCGGTGTAAACATTGACTCTTCTTGTTGTTGCCACGTTATTATTACTGTTGCTGTTGTTGGTGTTTGTGGTGGGGGGCTTGGAACGGCGCCCCCCAAGGTCCACCATGTTGAGGGCGGAGCCCCTCTGCCCGCGGGGTCAGCCCACGCCCACGCGCGCGCCGGGGCAAGGACTTCGGGGCAGAGAGGACCCGACCCAGGTGGCAACGTGTCGACGTGCGGGCACCAGAGACCAGATAGTCACCAGCAACAGCACCAGCAACACCAACAGCACGGGCAGCACCAGCAGCAGAGGCACCGTGGTAGCGGCAGAAGGTAGCCGGTCAGACCGGCAACAACACCCGAGCCACACCAGTGGCAGGTGGCGACGACGACGGCGGTGGAGAGGACGGAGACGGCAAGGAGGAGGACAACGGGCAGGGTTGGGAGGCGGAGGAGTGCGGCGGTGGTGACGCTGGGGGCCCACGGGTCGTCACCACCACACACCGGCGCAGTCGTCCACATGCCGCGGCCCCAACACACCTACGCACGCACACGTAAATTCCAGGAGAAGTGCGAGGTAGCGTGTGGTGGAGCAGTGGAGAGGTGTGTGTGGTAGGGGAGTGGGCGGCGGAGAGTGCAGGACTACCCACACCGCCAGTTTCCTTTGTACATGTCAAGTGTTGTCTACCCTACACAGCCACTGGTGTCATCCTAACGACCAAAGCGGGGTGTGGTGCCTGTCGTGCTTGAAGGACGCATATTGTATCTCCTGCCCTCCAGGCAGTAGCAGCAGAAGGGGGTGAGTCGCCTGCTAGTAACACTGGAGGTACAGGAGCTGCAGCCTCCAGCCCTGGCACGTGTTGCACCTGTGCAACTTCATGCACTATAGTTTAGCAATATATGCCTATGACTCCGATAGAAGGCCTACTGAATATATTTGTTTGTACAGAGGACTATTATCCTTTACTATCAATACAGGATATTATCATCCACAACCAGTACAGAATATTACTCTCCACAACCAGTATAGAATATTACGCTCCAAAACCAATGCAGGATATAACCTCCACATCCACTATAGGATATTTCCCTCCACAACAATACAGAATATTTCCCTCCACAATTAATACAGAATATTACCCTCTACAACCAATGCAGGATGTTAACCTCTACAACCAGTATAGAATATTTCCCTCCACAACCAGTACAGAATATTACCCTCCACAACCAGTACAGAATATTACCCCTCCACAACCAGTACAGAATATTACCCCTCCACAACCAATACAGAATATTACCCCTCCACAACCAGTACAGAATATTACCCCTCCACAACCAGTACAGAATATTACCCTCCACAACCAGTACAGAATATTACCCTCCACAACCAGTACAGAATATTACCCTCCACAACCAATGTAGGATATTACCCTCCACAACCAATACAGAATATTACCCTCCACAACCAGTACAGAATATTACCCCTCCACAACCAGTACAGAATATTACCCTCCACAACCAGTACAGAATATTACCCTCCACAACCAATGTAGGATATTACCCTCCAGTAGGATATTACCCTCCACAACCAATGCAGGATATTACCCTCCACAACCAGTACAGAATATTACCCTCCAGTACAGAATATTACCCTCCACAACCAGTACAGAATATTACCCTCCACAACCAGTCCACAACCAGTACAGACCACAACCAGAATATTACCCTCCACAACCAGTACAGAATATTACCCTCCACAACCAATGCAGGATATTACCCTCCACAACCAGTACAGAATATTGAACTACATTTAATTCAGGACTATGATTAGCTCTACAGAGCTAGAGATACTGTACCTTGTACTGACGGTACAAGGCAAGTTATGCTATTGTATTACAGTAGTAGGGGAAATATAACATTATGCACATATGAGGAATTATCATACAATAAGGAATTTGTTCACCATAAGAGTTAATAGGAATAAAGAAACTACAAAGGCCTAATGGCATAGAGAAAGAGGTGAAAATGAGACAAATAATTATTTAAGTGTAATTACCTAAGTGATTACAGGATGAGAGCTAAGCTTGTGTGTCTACCTTCCCAGTACTGCACTCTTTGTCATATAACGCTTTGAAACTACTGATGGTTTTGGCCTCCACCACCACCTCACTTAACTTGTTCCAACCATCTACCACTCTGCAAAGAAAACTTTCTAATATTTTTTTTTGGCACCCTTGTTTCTTTAGCTTGAATCTGTGTCCTCTTGTTCTTGAAGTTGCTTGTTTCAGGAATTCCTCTGTCATTTGGCCAATTTCTGTTATTATTTTGTAAGTGGTGATCATACTGCCTCTATTTCTTATATCTTCTAGTTTTGGCATGTTTGATGCCTATAGCCTCTCCTAGAATTTTTTTTCAGTTCTGGAAGCCATTTTGTTGCATGCCTTTGCACCTTTTCCAGTTTATTGATTTGCTTCTTGAGATATGGACACCATACAATTGCTGTATATTCCAATTTTGGTCTCGCAAAAGTCTGAACAGCTTCTTTAGTATTTCACCATCCATATAATTAAAAGCAAGTCTGAAATTGGAAAGTGTCGCATACGCTCCTCTCTCAATGTTTGTGTGTTTCTCTGGTGACAGTTTACTATCCAAAACCACCCCTAGCTCTTGTTCTTTATTAGAGTTCTTTAATTCCTTTCCACATAATTTGTATATTGTGTGTTGTCTATTTTCTCTGATTTCACATTCCATAACATAGCATTTATTCCCACTGAATTCCATTTGCCACATGTCACTCCAAGCACTTTATCTATCTTTTATCTATCTATTATCTATTTATATTTTATCTAGATAAATTTGAAGGGCATGACAATCGTCTGCATCTCGTATCTTCCCCAGTATGTATTTTAGCATCATCTGCAAACATGTTCATATAATTCGTAGGTCGAGTTACCAATTCCTTATATTTGCATAATGTTATATTCCCCTAATAGTACAATACCATTACTTGCCTTGTACCATCAATACAAGGTATCTCTAGCTTGTATGGCTGTACTGCATTAAATGCAGTGCAATATTGGCATTCATTATTTGTACAAAGTACAGTTCTCTACTATCAGAAGTCATTACTTGTCCTCTACCTTAAATTTTGTACAAATTACCATACAGTATTACTCAAAAATATGTAAGGCATTACTGTACTTCTACTGCAATAAAGGATGCTGCTCTTCTTCCACTGTCAATATATACTATTCTACTTTAACTATTTGTATAAAGGTCTTGCCCTTTATTACAAGTACTGTACAAGGTTTCATTTACCACTTATTATATTATTAAGCATTACTTGCCCTAAACATTCAGCACTTGCTATAAGCTGCCCAAGGACCTTTATTTAAAGGTAAAATGCCCACCCACTAACCTTGAGAGCTCCACTTATAGACCCAGTGTTAGTGCTGGTTGTGTGGTGATCAACCACACTTAGTGGGGAAGAGCTGCATGTATTGTGATTTCTGGTTACATCCCGAGATGAAGACCTCCAATGTTGCTTGCCACTGATTTTAGAAACACTATGCTTTGACATAGGCCTGTGGCTGTCAATATCTGGCACACTGTAATTTGTAACAGACCTTCCATGCAAGTTCTTTGATGTACCACAACATTGAACAAATCCATTACACGTAACAGAACTTTTATTTTTAGAATCAAGTGGAGCATGGGCCCAATTATGAAGGCTATGGGCTTTATTGATTTTTTTGGGCACAGTGATTGATTTAATTTTCCCACGCTGAAAACTGGCTGGAATGGGAATTTGTTGAGCAACGTGTGAAGCTTGAGATCCAACAAGAGGTGAGGAAGAAGGCCGATTCTGCTGATGGGGACTCTTGAATTTGTACTGCATGCATCAAATGCCGAAAAGAACGCAAATTTAATGTAGTCCTGATATGACAAGGGAAAGATAGAAATACTTAATTACTAAAAATATACATTATTACAGTCCCACTGGAAAATTAATCATGCATATTTTTTATTAGTGTAGATTGGCAAATAGGCAATTTAAGACAAGACATAAATTTGAACATTATAAATCAGTACTGTAGTGTTTTGTACATTGTAAAATTTTATTTCAACACAAAGTATACGCAAAATATTAATTGACAGAACAAGAAAGTATGATATTGTATACAGTATCAGACAATTAAATGATTCCCTGTCCACCATCTTGGGCATATTTGATAGCCAGGCATAGATAGCCAAGAGTATGAGGTCTTTCTTCTTCACCATAGTCAAAGTGGCCAATATTTTATGTTTTTCAATTCTGCCCTCTGCTATTTATGCCAATTATGCCTAATGTAATTAGGTCATTGTTAACCAATCATTGTGAGAATTAATAATATACTAGTTGTAGTGAAAACAGTGATATAATATTGCAGCTTTAGCCTAAATCCCATTATTTAATGTTTGACACAAGTTAGTGTATACTGCAGTTGTTTGATTCATACTCTACAACAATTGTATAGCCGTTTCTTTTAATATCATGGGTTTGAACACTGCTGTGCTAGCATATCCACAGGGAAGGAAAGTGTGATTGCCAAATAAGTTTTAAGTAGATGCAACAATCTCTGGCTACAACCAATTACATTTTTGCAGTACCAGTATATTACTTCAAAACATTAATTCTATTGTTAGGGACAGAAGTCTATACTTAGACTTATCGAGGTCCCCCTAGGTCAACTGCTGACCCTTTCCAGGATGCAACCCGCAACAGTTGCCTAACTCCTGGATATGTATTTATGCTAGGTGAACAGATGCATCAGGTGAAAGGAAACATACCCAACCATTTCTGTTCCACCCAGAGAAGGCACTTAGGATCCTCAATTGTGAGTTCGTAACATAGACCTCTGTAATGGTTTGTAACCAACTCATGTCCTAACTTTGGTAAGATAAAGGATATTAGTGAGATTTTTGAGTTCATATATGAAGGGAAGACACAGCACAGTGTTACTGGGGTTGGAAACAGGTTTGGGATGAAAGATATTTTGATTAGTTCGAGAATAGGCACAGTTGATAAAATGTAATGGGTATCCAAGGAGAGACTTGTAAACCAAAGAAATTTTAGAATTGACACTCTTGGGGTCACTAATGCATAGGGCCTGGAGGAAGATTGAGATAAGAACTTTTTTTTAACAGATTGGGGATAGTAGGAAAAGAAGTGAATGTACATACCAGTGTGCATAGGCTTGTGGTGAACAATCATACATGCTACCTCCAGGAGGTTTAAAAGGACACAACATAACCCAAATTAACCTTCAAATAAGGAGATAAACCTCAATGGACCAGAGAGAACAATGCATATTGATTACAAATACAGTACTGTATTCGATAGGTTCCAAAACAAGTTTCAACAACAGCTTAAGGTGGCACTCACCATAGTGTGCAAGCGTGACTGTAAGCGTAGGGAGGCACTGGAATGGCCACCTGATTCTGAATCGGAGAGGAGGCGGGGCAGGTCACCATAGCTTGCCCTCTGTTAGTGAGTTAAATCTGTTCAAGGCTAATATTGGTCATAACATGTCCTGACTGCCTATAAGTCAACAATGTCTGTGTCAAAACATTTCAGCCTATAGTATGTTATTATACTTCAAAATATCATTTTTGTAATTAGTTTCAGCCAAGCTATCCTCAGTGCAAGTCACATCTAACAAGTTCATTTTCTCTTAGTATCAGACAAGAGTTTTTAAAAGTTATTGCAAGATTTTGAAGGCAGTCAAAAGCTACATTACAAAAGCAGTAACTAGACATGTCACGTACTATTAATCTTCAATCAACAAATCTTTGTACTGATCAAATAAATTAACAAAATGTGACAAAGCTTTCAAAGCATTTTTAATACTGTACAGCATTTAAGCAAAATTAGTTATGTTTAGTAATCTGAAAATATAATGGAAAGTTAGTTAACTGAGGCATTCATTAGAAACTGACAGCAAAAGACAAGCAAACATATGCAACAAACTATTACATGCACTTAAAATTAGACATTCCGAGACATGACCTTACTGCTTGCTTCTTGACATTCTACATTTCTTTAAATATTCTATATTGATTTCCCTTGGAAATCTTTTTCTTACTCTTCTGTCATCATCCTCCAACTGCTCTTAAGGCTGAATATTCCTTGCTAGTACAGCACCTAAGTCTCCCTCACTTTCATATATTCTTTACTTTTAATTCAACCATTTGTCTCTTTCTCTTTAAATTAATGCTTTCCCCCATCTTTTCTCTTTTTCCATCCAATATTATTTCCAATAAATTTAAATATTACTCTTCAAGAAATCAAGTAATTGTAATCACTATACATTACCATACTTAATCTAACTCACTTTTTAAATACTGTACATCTTATGTTTCTCCTATGCTAATCTTATTGAAGAATTCACTACCAATTAAATCTTAATCCTTTTCCTAAAGTCTTCTATGAAAAAACATGCTTTAAGTCTGTATAATGAATATATACAGTAGTATTTAACTTTATATTTCATAGTATCAGTCTAGTTTTTCCACTATAAAATTACAAATATTTTAATCAAAATTATACAGTACAGTATGTACATTCTTTACTGGCGTGCGCTCTTAGGTTTCATCCAAACTCATTTTCCTCCTCAACATTAACTATAATTCTGCACTGGTACTCTATCACCTTATTATCTATTGTACTAGTGACAGTTTAGTCAACTATGATATCTTTGTATTTTCTGGCTATATTTTCCCTGTTTGCTTGCAATATGTTATCTTCACTATTAAAGTGTCTTATTTATTTTTATATCCTTGTATTTTCTGGTTCATTTAAATGAAAGCCAGAAATCTCACTTCCTGATTGCACAAGTAGTATGTCTCCAGTACTGTATAAGGGAAGATCTGAGCTTATGAACTTCACAACAGAATAATTTTAATACTGAAGCATCAATGATTTTCTGATAAAAACACATATCTACGGTATTTACAGAGGAAATTCTGATGTTATATTGTACACACTGATTATTGTAATTAATTACTTAATATATTATATTAATATATTATTAATTAATATAATTATAGTATATTCTATCCAAAGTAGGTCTTATCTGAGAGGTAACAGCAGAAAGCGTAAAAAAATTATTTTTTCTAAACTTACCAATTTTTTAACAGAGACTGAGCGAGATGGAATGTCATGTTGAGGTTGAGCACTTAGTGGCGATGACACAATAGGGTCATAAAGTCGTGTCAGGTCAGAAAAGCTGCGTGTCTGTTCACAACACAACACACATGCAGGTTACATTACATGCTTTCTAATCCAATTACAGTACAGTATATTAGTATTTTTTAACAATAAAATGTACAAGATAATTCACCTTAATTTAAAATTTGAAATTGCATTTATTTTGTAATATTTCCTATTGTTTTGTTACAGCAAGACTTGATGTTAATAAAATCAGGACTTTTCAGCAGAATTTTGTTTAAAATGCTTGAAGTTGAATGAAAATGGTATCCGATGGGCGAGTATATAATTCTCAGGATATGAACAGGCTGATGTAATTTGTATAGGGATGTAGTGATTACAGGGATTATAACAACTTCAGGGAGATGTAATTGGTACAAAGTGGCATAATGAACAGAGTGAATATAATGAGCGTAGGGCGGTGAAGCATGTGGTGCAAGAAGGTGCTCGCAACCTGATGAATGAATTGCAGCCTGGTTCATCAGGTATCCTTTGGAGGTATTTATCAAGTTCTCTTTTGAACACCATGAGAGGTTGGCCAATTATGTCCATTATGTTTAAGTGGAGTGTTTTGAAAATATTGGGTCTTTGATGTTGATAAAAGTTCTCTCTCATCTTACCTATTGCACCTCTACTTTACAACAGGGCTATTTTGTACTAACTGCCATGCCTTCTGGTTTTTATGTGATGTTATTTCCATGTGCAGATTTGGAACCAGTCCCTTTTAATATTTTCCAAGTGTAAATTATTATCTTATCTACCCGCCCCTTCACTACCCCAACCACATGCACTCTAGGGAATACAAATCTTAAAGAATCTAGTTAAAAATTTAAGTGGTCCCAAAACTTTAGATGTTTTATTGAGTGGATTCTAGTAGTAAAGGATCTTCACAAGTTCTCCAGACCAGCAATTTCTCCAGGTTTGAATGGAGCTGTTATTATGCAACATTATTCCTAGAGAGCACTTGGAAAAAGTTATGGAAAGTATTTATCACTGGTATGCCTTATCATGTGAAATGTTCTTCTTGTCTAGCCAATAATTTTTCTTGCAGCCATGATAGTAACTGTATTGGGTTCTTTAGAAGTAAGGTCTTCTGATATGATTACTCCCAAATCCTTTACATTACTTTTTCATTCTATATTGTGATTTGACTGCATTTTACATGCGGTTTCTATTTTTATAATTTTGATTTTCCTTGGTACAGGAGCTAGAACTTATCTTCATTAAACATGATATTATTTTCTGTGGCCCACTGAAAGCTCTAATTTACATCAGTTTGGAGGTTTGCTGGTTCTCTGTATTGTCTATTCTCATAAAAATCCTAGCGTCATCTGCAAAAGATGATGTGGTACTATTGTTTTGGTCTATGTTATGAGGATGAGAAAAAGTACTGGAGCATGCACAGCGCCTTAGGGACAGCTTTTTACAGTGGATAATCCCAATTTTATGACCATGTTACACATTGGGTTTTAGTCATTAGGAAATTAAAATTCTATCTTCCTACTTTACCAGTAATTCCCTTTGAGTGAAGTAACACTACGGTCATACTTCTTAAAAGCTTTCACGAAAACTATGCATATTACATCAGTGTTTTGCTTGTCTTCCATGGCAGCTAAGGACATGTCATAATGGTCTAGCAATTGTGAGACTAAGGAGTGCTCTTTCCTGAATACTGTACATGTTGTTTGGTGTTATGTAGACAGTGTGAGTCCATGTGCCTTGTGAACTTAATTCTTAGCACTCAAAGATTTTTACGACATGTGATGTAGTGCTATTGGTTTACCATTTTTTGCCTTTGCTTTATTTCCTCACTTATGGAGTGGTGCTATCTTCACTGCTTTAAATGTCAGGGATAACACCAGTATCTAGGCTTCATCTCCAAATAATTTTAGGTGCCTACAATAGTGGTGGTTTTACACTTCTTGATAAATACTGAATTCTAGTAATCAGTGCCTGGTGCAGAATGCATAGGCATATACTGTCTATGGCTACTTCAAAGTCTAGTGGGGTTAGGGTGACATCTGATATGTGATTTGTTATTCGATTATCAATCTCCAGTGAGTTTATGGGTTCAATGAAAACAATCGTATCCTGTATCCTCGGTTTCACTCATTTCTTTATCGTCATCTGTGAAGGTTCCATCTCCCTTGCACAGTACCTCAATACTAGATTTAGTTTTTTCTAGCTTTTTTCATAGGAGAAAAAGTATTTTGGAATCTTCTCATGGGGAGAAAGTTCATCATGAGAAAGCAGGACTAGAAAATATAGGTGGAATTTTACTATATTATCTCCAAAGTGTATCATGTAAGGTTCCAAGTTCTGTACATACAGCCACATGCAAATGTTAAGATATATTATATGTGAAACTAATGTATTACATAGAGGACATTTACTACAAATTTTACATTGATGAAATAGACAAATAATTTTTTTAAGATTCTACTGCATATTGGTCCATAAGTTCAAATAAAAATATAAATGGATTTAATAGTACAAACTGTACAGGTAATTCCATTTTTGTCTAGTGCATACCACATATTGGAGTAATTCTGTCTATTATGAATTGCATCTCACATTTCATGCAATAACATATATTAAACAATGTTAGATGTATTCCCCAACACTAATTATATATCTATTAAAGTAATACAAGATCTTGCTTCTCAGGAGTACAATAGACATTCGGTTGCTCCTTGAGGTGACAATCTACTGTCATACAGAGACTTATGAACAGACAGGCAGGGAAAATTATTCAGGAACCAACACTGCAGACTTTTTCAAATGCTCTTGTAGGGTCATATATCGTGCTAGGGAGGTACAGAAAAACTGAATTATAAAAATGATGATAATAAGTACAGCAGAGAACTGTACTTCTCAACAGACTTGAAGCCATATCTTATTCTCCCTTGGCATCATAAGTGACCACCAAAATAGGATTCAAAAACAGTTCATTTACCTGTCTGGCCAAACCAAACAGGCAGTTCAGTACCAACTTCTACCCTGGATTCTCAAACCCTGATTATGCCACAATTGTCTTCATGCAAATATTATACAAAACCTTACCCCAGGAGAGAATGAGAGGGGTTGGGAGCAACCAAATTTTCCAAAAGAAAAAGAAAGCTTGTCATAGTGACTCAAATACTTATTCCTGAGCTATCACACACAGTTGTTCCAAAAGGTAAGCCACAGATGCCACAGACTCCAGTAGCAAAGTAAAAATGAAGATACAGACTGCCCCTGTGATGCAAAGTAGTGTTGAAAGATACTGTACAAGGTTATGAGCCCTCACCTTGTATCTTGCATGTTGGTGCCTTCATTCTCTAGCCCTTCTCAGTCAGCTGAGAGGGATTAGAGAATGAAGGCACCAACACCACCATTTGCCACCTGAACCCCCTTCCTCTTCCCCACTTACATTGAGCACGAAACCACACTAAACCCTGTAAGCAAACCATCCTAAAGAGGTGGAGGAGATTCTTGAGGTTTTACCCACAATACCTTTCACAATAACTGAAAGATGGTGCTTGTCTGACAAACACAGAGCTTAAGCACTTAAAGTCAAAGAGTGCTTTGAACCTTGAGTTCTCGCCTTTCTGTTCTGATAAAGGATATAAATAGGGGTGGACACCCAAACACATTGCATATGTGAGGGTAAAACCGACCATATGTCCAACATGGGAATGTAGAGGGCGTGGCGTAAAGAGATGGTCATTGGGGTTCATGAACTTCATATGACCTGACATGCTGCATCATTATAAATTATGGCTTCTCACAGTTAAAAATACTGTAGGAGCCTGGCTGTCAAGGCAGGACTGCTCGACTATCACTAACCTTAGGGTACAAATGACACGTCGTCGACTCTCACAGTGTGTCGATGACCAAGTAAACCCCCTGTGCATGGCAACAAAAACCCAAGTACTAAGAGCAATGCCTAAATAACCGTGAATAATGTGATATACAGTAAACTCAGGTTGGAGAATCAAAGGAAGCAGGAAGACCCATTAAACACAAAGGTAATCAGAGGACACACAAGGACTTATTAAGCATGGACACACAAGGCAAACATATAGAGATAGCTTAAGTCACTGTACACAAACAATACAGTACTGTACTGTATTTCAGTTGATGAAAACAAGTCACTTAGGATAGGTCCTTATCTGCTGACAGAACATGGGCAATTAGAAAAATGCAACAATTTGGGTTTTGGAACCTTGGGTAGGTATTAGTACTACACCTGTTGGTAAGTGACTGATTCTGTCAGGCAGGCAATTAAGCCATTTAGAAGCTTTACTTGGCAATCACTTGTGATACCAAGTGAGGATTCTATAGGGGTCCAAATCTTTTAGAATGGACCCATGATGATCACCTTATGCAGGATTGAACTTTTCTCACATGCCACTCAAAGACCTTATATGATCCTGTGAGGGTATTTAAAGTGATCCCTACAGTAGTGGTGCCTGAACAATGTTCTACTTATTTATTTATTTATTGATTTATTGTATATATAAAAGAGTTCTTACATTCTTGTAAAGCCACTAGCATGCATAGCATTTCGAGCCGGTCGTTATCTTAATTTTCCCTGGAATACGATCCACCATATAGTTTAACAACCAAGTACCCATTCGGTGCCGAGTGAACAGAGGCGTATAGTTAGGGATTGGCGCTTAGTCAATCCTCCCTGGCCAGGGTAAGCTCCCAGGCCAAATCACTCGCAAAGTGTGGGGCAAGTGTGTTACCACTGTGTCACGGAGACTATTCATGAATACACAACAGTCTGTGACAAAGGACTCTTGCCTTAAGGAGCAACCAAATGTAGTAACTCAGAAAGCTCAGAAAAATGTACAGTAGAGTATATATATCTACAGCTAAACCTTGTTTATCCTGTCTACTTGTTGTAGATCTTTAGATTTTTGGTGTAAAACTTACCAAAGCTTTCACATTGACTGTGGCCAAGGCAACACGATCACCTTCAATTATGGAACTGTTGATGTCTTGATCTAGAACTCGAAGATCTGTCATGCTCCGGGTCTGATGTGCATTCCAACATAGGGTTAGTGGTTAGTGGCTCTAATATTTGAGAAGCTACAAATAAAAACTTTATATATATATATACTGCATAAGATTTCTCAGTCTAAATTTATATCACTAAATTAGTAATAGGTTAGTAAAGCTCTACTATAAAGACAATAAAGTTAGTACTATAACAAAAAGTTAATACAGTATGTTCATAATTTAGTTGCAAAGATATAAATTATAGCTACAATGAGTATTTGAAAGTAATTGAATATCAGTAAATTATAAATAAAAATACTGTTTGGAAGAATATTAATACAGTTATTGCAATACAGTGCAACCTCAATTCAGCAAACTATATGGAACCAACCACAATTTGTTGTAATCAGAGATGCCATCAGGAGGCCTTTTTTTCAATTATATAAACACAAGAAAAATAAATTGTTATATACTAAAACTTTGCTGTACAGTAATAAATCATATTTTTATTTACCTTAAAGAAATGCATGGCATTTTCATACTGCATATCTTGCTTGAATCCTCTAGCGTTGCAATTTGTAATTACTAATGCTACTTGGTGTGTGGCTGAGTTAGCAAGGATTTGTGAAGGTAGTCTCCCATGATACAATTCTCTTTACTTTTTTTCATAACAAAATTAATTTTAAAAGCCACGAATTTTGAGGAATGCCAGGGGCCATAAAATTTTGATGTTAGGATAATCCAGGAAGCCAAGGGGGTTAGCCAGAGTTGCAAGGAAGTTGCAAGATTGGAAAGTGGGTGTTTATCTTGTGTTGGTTATGAAGATCAATGTCTCCACTATTCAGTCTCTGACCAGACCTCCTGATTGATGATTTGGTCAACCAGGCTGTTAGATGCAGGTATTCTTTGGGGGTATTTAGTTCTCTTTTGAACACTGTGAGAGGTTGGCTAGTTATGTCCTTTAAATTTAGAAGGAAAGTGTTGAAAAGTCTTGGGGCCCCTTGATGTTGACAGAAGTGTCTCTTGGCGTACCTATTGCACCTTTGCTTCTCAACAGCTATTTTGCACCTCCTGCCATGTCTCTGGGTTTCATGAGGAGTTATTTTCATATGCAGAATTTGAACCAGTATCTGTGTGTGTGTGTGTGTATACAGAAGAATAACCATGAAATTCTGATCCTGAGAGATCTTCAGAAGCCCAGGAGAATCAGTCATAGTAATGATGTTGCAATGAATATTGTATGTAGGGAAGATATGGCCTCAGTTTTCTGTGCAAGCAGTGCTGAGTAACTGTTACAGTAGTTCTTAATGTATGAATAAATCAAGCTATGCTATGAAAAATACTAGAATCTAATTGCAATCTACTGCTGAAAGGGCACTGCCTTTTACTAATATAAACAAAAGCCGGGTACAAACAGAATATAAAACTTACAGACATGACAGTTTCGTGCTTGGGAGGCTGAACAGGCAAGTGAAGTGTATTATAAGAGTGAAAACAGAGTACAAGTTTGATAATATATTAAAATTAATGAACATTTAATCAATATGAAGCCTTCAGGATATTATATTTTTTATTTCCATTTTATTTTACACAAACATTGAGAATCTACACATCTTGATTAAAAAAAAAGGGTGGGCGGGCTATATTTCACCGAATCCTGTCAACATATATTTTATCCATATGTTATGTTGTTCCTATAACATAATACTATCAGTGGCATATGTAAGGGTGGTGAATATAAGAACTGCCTTCAGACATTTGTGTAAGGAATCATTCAGAGCCTTGTATACCTCATATGTCAGACCAATACTGGAATATGCGGCTCCAGCGTGGAGTTCACATCTATTCAAATACAAAATGAAGTTAGTAAAGGTTCAGAGGTATGCCACCAGGCTAATCCCCCTAGATGAGGGGAATGAGCTACAAGGAAAGATTGCTGGAACTAAACCTCATTACACAAACAGAAGTACTGTACTAGGAGAGACATGATCACTACCTATAAAATTCTCAGGAATTGACAGGGTAGATAAAGATAAACTATTTAGCATGAGTGGCATGCAAACAAGGGGACACAGGTGGAAACTTAGTACCCAAATGAGCCACAGGTATGTTAGAAAGAACTTTTTCAGTGTCAAGAGTAGGTTATCTTTAAGCTATCTTGAGATGATTTCGGGGTTTAGCGTCCCCGTGGCCCAGTCCTCGACCAGGCCTCCTTTTTGTTACACAACCCCCAGGAGGCAGCCCGTAGCAGCTGTCTAACTCTAGGTACCTATTTACTGCTAGGTAACGGGCATCAGGGTGAAAGAAACATTTTGCCCATTTGTCTCCGCCTTCACCGGGGATCAAACTTGGAACCTCAGGACTACGAATCCAAAGCGCTGTCTACCCAGCTGTCAGGCGTCCCAGTAGTGTTAACAGCAGAGTACAGTAGTTAACAGATGGACTGCATTAGGCAGAGATGTGGTGGAGGCAGACTCCATACACAGCTTCAAATGTAGATATGAGAGGACCCAATAGGCTCAAGAATCTGTACACCAGTTGATCGACAGTTGAGAGGTGGGATCAAAGACCCAAAGCTCAACCTCCCACAAGCACAACTAGGTGAGCACTCAAAAACTTATGAGAGAAAAATAAATACAGGTAAATGTCGAGTGTATGAGTAAGTTCTCACTTTCGAGTGCTTGTTGATACAGAAGATTACCTCTTGGGCCCAGTGTGTTACTTCTGATGATCTGGTACAACTGGCATTCATTTTTTTCCCCACAGATGGGTTGATACTACTTAGCCTTCCTGACTTGGTGCCTTCTTTTGATAATTACTTAATTTACACAGGTGGTACAGCAGACAAATTTTGACTTTGTAAGCAGACCTAAAAAAATTTCCTTCCCATAGCTCATCTTAAGCCCTTAAGCCTAACCCTACTAGTTTCTTCTCAAAACACAACCCACTAATGCTAGTTTTCCACCTGGAACACATCCACCAATACCATTTTTTTCCTGAAACATCCCACCAATACTAGTTTTTCTCTGGAACACATCCCACCAATACTAGTGTTCCCTGGAACACAACTCACCAATACTAGTGTTCCCTGGAACACAACTCACCAATACTAGTGTTCCCTGGAACACAACTCACCAATACTAGTGTTCCCTGGAACACAACTCGCCAATACTAGTGTTCCCTGGAACACAACTCGCCAATACTAGTGTTCCCTGGAACACAACTCGCCAATACTAGTGTTCCCTGGAACACAACTCGCCAATACTAGTTTTCCCTGTAACCCAACCCGCCAATACTAGTTTTTCCCTGGCAGACAACCCACCAATACTAGTTTTAAACCAGCAATGCTAGTTTCCCTTAGAGCACAACACACCAATACTAGCTTTCACTGGAACACAACCTGCCATTTCCAGGTTTTCCCTGAAACACAACCTATCAATACTAGTTTTCCCCAGAAGACAATCCATCAATACAGTACTAGTTTTTCCTGGAACACAGCCAACCAAGACTAGTTTTTTGCTGAAACACAACTTACCAATTGGTTATCAACCAGGTTCCCAATTATGAATTAGTGAACAAGGGCGAGTAAGGGTAAGGATCAGCACACAGACAACCCTTTCTGCCTATAATTCAAACACAATCAAAAATCACTCCCAAAGCATGTAGCAAGTGTGCAACCACTACACCACAGAACTTTTCACCTCTAATTTTAAAGCTGTGGATTGAATTAGACTCTACTACATCTGCTTACATCTCATTACCCAATTTATTTAGTACGCACTACAAGAGTACAGTAGAGTACTTTTCTACTTCTCCTAAACTGATTTGTACTGAATTTCTCCTAAACTGAATTGTACTGAAGATCAATTTCCACTCGTGTTCTCTCATTCTACTTCTTATTTTAAAAAGTCTCCTTATTTACTGTCTATATCATTCAGTTTCTTGTACATTGTGATCATAACTCATTTGGCTTTTTCTTGCCTTCAGTGTTTGCAGGTTCAGCTTCTTAAATTTTTCTTCATATTTCACCTATTTTATAGATTTGTCTTGTGGCAAATCTATGCCCTATTCAAATTTGAGTTTAATTTTGTGAGATGTGGGTTCATGCTGCTGCTGCACACTATAGGACTGGCCTTCCACAAGCCGTATATAGTTCAGAAGGCCTTCTTGTTTGTCTTGAAAGGCTCCGAGTGTTACTCTGTTTACATCCATTTATGACAAGATTTGATGTGATGCTCACTTTTCTGAGGCTGTTATTTTATTTTGCCAGTTTCAGGAATTCCTCATTCTCAATTTGGTCGATTCCTGTTAATATTTTGATGATCATATCACCACCTTTTCCTTCTATCTTCTAGCTTTGGCATATGTAATGCTGCTAGCTTCTTTACATAACTCTTGTTTTTCAGTTCTGGAAGCCATTTTGTAGCATGCCTTTGCACCTTTTCCAGCTTATTGATTTGCTTCTTGAGATATGGACACCATACGCAACTGCTGAACATTCCAATTTTGGTTTTGCAAAAGTCATAAACAGTTTCTTTAGTATTTCACTATTCATATAATTAAAAGCAAGTCTGAAGATGGAAAGTACAGCATATGTTCCTTCCACACTGCCCTGTGTTGTTGTTCTTGTGATAATCTACTATCCAGAACTACCCCTAGATCTCTTTCCTTGTTAGGAGTTCTTTTAATTCCTTTCCACATAATTTGTAGGATGTGTGTAGTCTATATCCTTGTATTCAACATTCCATAACATGGCATTTATTCATACTGAATTCTATTTGCCACATCGTGCTCCAAGTGCTTATTTTATCTAGGTCAATTTGAAGAGCATGACAATCTTGGTCTCCTATCTTCCCTAGTAGCTTAGCATCATTAGCAAACATGTGCAAATAATTCTATGTTCCTTCTGGTAGATAATTTATATAGGTGATGAACATTACCAGTGCAAGAACTGAACCCTACGGGACTCTGCTAATAACACTCCTCAGTCAGATACATTGCCTTTGATGTCCTCCCTCATTGTTTTGTCAGTCAGAATTTTTTTCATCCCTGTCATCCCTCAAGTATGTTCCAGTTTCCAAAACAACCTCTTGTGTGGTACTCAAAAGCCTTTCTTTAGATCCAGATAGACACAGTCAACCCAACCACCTCTCTCCTGTAATACTGTATCTCTGTGGCTCTATCATAAAATTTAAGTAGATTTGTTACACAGGATCTTCCTGTTCAAAAACCATGCTGTTTGCCTGTTATTATATCACTACTCTCTAAGTGTTCCAACCCATTTGGCTTCAACTATAGTTTTTAGTACTTTGACAACCACGCTTGTTAGTGATACGAGTCTCTAATTTAGAGGTTCCTCTCGAATACCATTTTTATAGATTGTTACTATGTTTGCTTTTTCCATATATCTGCTAAGATTCCTGTGCACTAGGATGTTTGGAACATTACTGGGAATGGAAAGGTCAGCTCAGTTGCAGATTCTCGCAGCACCCAAGGTGAAAGGCCATCAGATCCAACTGCTTTATTTCTTCCTAGTCCCCCTTGAGTAATTTTTCCACTTTTTCTTAAGATATCTCTATATACTCTATGGATTATTCAGGAATTGGTATTGGATCCAGTTCTATGAAATACACTTTGGAACTGTTCATTTAGCATTTCACACATTTCTTTTTCATTCTCAGTACAGTAGTCCTGTTCCCTGTTCTCAATCTCTGAATTGTTTCCTTTACATGAGCTTACTTTTAATGAATTTATAGCAAAGGCCTGGATCAGTTTTACATTTGTCTGCTATATCTTAATCAAAGATTCCTTCTGCCTCTCTCCTTACTGTTGTGTAATAGTTTCTTGTTTGCTTGTAGTGCTGGTATGTTTGTGGGTTAGGTCTCTTCCTATATTGAACCCATTGTTTTGTCTTTTCCTCTCTGGCCCTCTCACAATTTCTGTTGAACCAATCCTGTTTCCTGGTCCTACATCTTTGGTTTGGTATGAATGTTTGTGTGCCTTCATTTGTATATTTCACAAAATTTTTCATACATCTCATTTACTTCCTTGCCTAGCAACAAGTCTCTCCGATTAAACTCATTAAAAAAATTTAAATTCTCCATAGTGTCCTCTCTTGAAATCGAGTTTATCAACTGTTTTAATGTCCCCATTCTCTTCTAGATTATATCACAAAGCATATTTAATGTCAAACAGGACGTGATCACTCTTACCCAAGGGAGGAAGGTACTGGATGTTAAATATATCTTCTTCTTTCCTGGTGAATATTTGATTCACTATTGATGGAACATCCCCTTCCCCGTTGTGTAGGGTCTATGTTCTTCTATTCCATATTCCATAACATGGCATTTATGCACATTAAATCCCATTTGCCATGTGGTGCTCCATATACTTATTTTGTCCAGGTCTTCTTGAAGGGCATTACAATCATATACATTTCTTATCCTTCCTATTATCTTAGCACCATCAGCAAACATGATCATATAATTCTCTATTCCATCCGGCAGATCATTTATGTAGACAATGAACATTACCTGTGCAAGAACTGAACCCTGTGGTACTCCACTTGTCACATTTCTCCAGTCCAATACATTGCCTCTGATTACTGCCATCATGTTTCTATCAGAAAATTTTTCATCCATGTTAGAAGCTTACCTGTCACCCCTCCTGTATGTTCCAGCTTCCTTCAACCTCTTATGTGGAACTCTGCTGAAAGCCTTTTTTAGGTCCAGATAGATGCAGTCAACACAACCATCTCTTTCCTGTAAAATCTCTGTGGCTCGATCATAGAAACTGAGTAAATTCGTTACACAGGATCTTCCAGATAGAAAACCACACTGTCTGATATTACTGTATATCATTTTTCTCCAGGTGTTCTACCCATTTACTTTAAATTATTTTTTTCAATATTTTGACTATTACACTCATCAATGATACAGGTCTATAATTGAGGGGAAACAGCCCCTTCCTTCATCCTCGTAGCTTGTTTAACATGTTGATACAAGAATGTTTCCAGGATGAAGTCTACAAATCTACAGGTCCAAAAGTCCTCTGTTTTAGCGTCATATGCTTCCCAGTCTATGGATTTTAAGTTGAAGTCAATGACTACCAACAGTCGTGATCTATCTTTATCTGCTCTCACTATAATCTCTTTCATTATTGTTATAAGACCCTCTCATTTATTATCCAGCTCCTCCTTTGTTTATGTGTTGCATGGCGGTGGACTATATGCATTTATGATCATTAGTTTATCATCCTGATTGCAGATCTCTAGTGCTATTACGTCATCTTCTCGTGAATTGGCAATCATTATTTCGTTTACCTTTAGGTGTTCTTTCACCAGCACAGCAACGCCACCGCCTTTCCTAATTTTTCTGTCCCATCTTCAAACTGAGTAGCCCCTTCTGAGTAGGTCTGAGAATATGACCTCATTTAAAATATCATCTTCAAGTTTTGTCTCCGTGAGTGCAACAATGTCTGGTGTCTGCAGCTGTATTACATCACTTAGCTCCAGTATCTTTAATCTCACTCCATCTATGTTGGTGTATACAATTTTCAGGCATATGTTCCCTCACCTTATTCTATTGTAGCTAAAAATATATACAGTATATGAACCAGTAAAACATATGAAGACCTAAATTATTCCATTAAATACTTTAAATGCTTCCATAGATTATTAAGTTTCAATTTGTATTCCTGAATAGCCTCTGGAGCCTGAGGAAGTTATAATACTGTATATGCCCCATGATACAGGAGGCAATGCTTCCAAATAACCAGGAATTTTGAAGAAAATAATCATCAATAACACTATACAGTGTAGCATGTTAGGCTTGTATCGAGGACCCCCATGGTCGAATTTCTGACCCCACCCAGCATGCAATCCCACAACAAACTGTCTATCTCCTGAGTACCTACTTACTGCTAGGTGAACAGGCACATTAAGTGAGAGGAAATGTGCCCAACCATTTCTGTCCCAGCTGGGATTCAAACCCAGAATTCTCGACTGTGCATCGAGAATGAACCCGACTGTACTACCAGGACTATATGGAGATTTAGTAATACTGTACTCACAAGTTGTTTAATGGAGATCCCAGTATCTGGTGGTGTTCTAGTGGGAGTTTGGCTCCGGGAGTGTCCGTCCTGAACTGACCTGCAGTATTCTTCACGCTGCAGAGCGAATTATTTTAAAATTTAATATCAAGATATTTATGGTAGCAGCTTAAGTTATCTCATCGGAAAATGGCATGGAGGTGTGTGAGGAACTCGACAAAATATTTCAGGAGGTCGTTAAAAGGAATCAATGTGGAAATGACAGTTGAGTAATGAAAGATAAGAGGAAACACTGGATGCAGACCATCCTCCTAAAATGAAAGTGCTTATGTTAAGCTTTGAGGAACTGGAAATTTTCTAAAGGAACTGGACCTAACAACCTTGGAAGACAGAAGAAATAGAGGAGATATGATCACAACATACAAGATGCTGAGGGGAATAGACAAGGTGGACAAGGATATGCAAAATCAAAATAAAAAAACTTCACTAGTATTGAAGCCATACTTACAACTAAAGGTTCGCACACAGAGGATGACAAAGAAATTAGTGAAATCTTAAAAGGCCAGTATGAGGGATATGTTTGGCACACCAATAAACAACATGAAAATTAAAGATTGAAATAGCTTCTTTATGAATGGCATCCAAACCCCAGAAAATATAAATGATAATAACACAAACACAGAAGACTTTGAAAGAGAAATCAACAACATGCCCATGCACTCTGCCGCAAGTCCTTTACTTGTGGAATTAAATATTTATAAAGAAATGTAAAGTACCAGTAGTATGAATGCTCACTGTAATATGAAGAATGAGCCTGGATACAGGGGAGATACCAGCAGCACTTAAATCAGCAGATATAGCTCCTCTACACAAGGGAGGAAATAAAGCTTTGGCAAAAAAACTATAGACCAGTTGCACTAACATCACACATATTAAAAGTTTTTGAAGGATTTATTAGGAATAAATCCCTGTTTTATGCAAATCAATGAACTTCACAACCCAGGTCAACATGAATTTAGAGCTGGAAGATCCTGTCTGTCTGTCCCTTTGGAACTTCTTTTATAACTCTTTCATTGTCAAGTTTTTTTTTGTTTTAAATTTCCTAAATGTTAATTCAAATACTGTAAAGGTATGTTTTACACATGAACAAAATAAAAAAAAAATTAATTTTAAGACCACACAAAACATCCAATGAAAAAAAAATAATCTAGGCTGACTACAAGGAACACAATTAATTGCATCCAAGCATGATGCAAGTTATATTGCTAGTACTGTAAAGTATATGTATCTAACCTCATGGGCATCTTATTGAGTGGCAAAGTACATAACTACCAATGAAAAGTCAGTTCAGTGAATATTTGTCAAGATACTAACCAGCTGTTGTAGAGAGATGTTTAGTTCCTCCTTGGGTGCAGGGCTGCCACCAGCTGGAGTACTGCTGCTGCTGCTGCCTCCCCTGCTGCCTGCACTACTGCTGGCTGTCGCTGTCGCCTCATAAGCTGACTTCTGTTTTAATTATTACAACATATTTAAATTCAAATATAAAAGTTTGTTCTTGTTTTGTTCAGCCAATTTCAAATACTTGAAATGTAGCCAGCCCATGAGACATGCAATTATAAGAAACAAACATGCACATAAAATTGGCACTGCTTGATTTTTTTAAATAGATTGCTAACATAAGTAATGCACTGTATATTTGCATGCATATAAACACATACATACAGTACATACACATCCACAAAGATGGAGTAGGATAATAAATACTGCAGCTAAACAATATTCAGCTTAAGATGCCAGATATTGTAGCAATAATAGTAAGATGTCAGATATTGTCTTGCTAGCAGAGATGAATCTTAAAGATAATACAGTTTTTTAAATGAGGTCATATTCCTGAGGGGCTACTCAACTTGCAGACGTGACAGAAAAATTAAAAGTAATTGGAGGCATTGCCGTGCTGGTGAAAGAACACCTGAAGGTAAGAGACTTAATGATTGACAACCCACGAGAAGTTGACATAATGGCACTGCAGGTTTGCAAACCTACAGTTCACCATCAAGCAAAACATGGCCAAAGGAGCTGGATGCCAAATGAGAGGGTCATATAATAATCATGAGAGATTATGATCATGAAATTATAGTAAGAGCAGATAAGATAAAACATGATTGATGATACTTTGTGACTTCAACTTGAAATTAATAGACAGCGAGGCCAACAAAGATAAAACAGGATATTTGGACAAAGTGTTGTAAACCTCATGGAGACATTTATGCATCGACATGTTAAGCAGCCCACAAGCACAAGGGAAGGGGATGTTCCATCAATGGTGCACTTGATATTCAAGAAAGAAAAGATATACTGTATTTGACATTAAATATCTTCCTCCCTTGGGTAAAAGTGACCATGTTCTCTTGTAAATAAAATATGCAATAATAATATAACCTAGAAGAGAATGGGGGTAAATGAAATACAGTAGGTCGTTGAAAACCTTGATTCTTAGAGTGTCCATATGTTCTTTAATGAATTAGGAAGATTGGTAAAGGAAGTAAATGAGATGCATGCCAAATTTTGTGATGTATATGGCTAAGGCAAAATAAATATTACAAGACAGAGATGCAGGCCTAGAAAATGGGATTAATTCAACAGAAAATGCTAGAGGGCCAGAGAACAAAGGACAAAAAAATAGGGGATTTAATATAGAAAGAGGCCAAATGCTCAATCGTAATGGCGATAAAAACAAGCAAGAACAACTACACGGTAGTGAGAAAAGAGACAAGAAGGTGTGTGAAGAACTTGACTAGAGATTACAGGAGGTTTTCACAATAGAGCATGGAGAAGCCCCTGTACTAAGAGAGGAGGCAGCGAACAAAGCAACACTGGAGGAATTTGAGCCCACCAGTAACGAGGTCAAAAGAAATCTGTTGGAGCCGAATGTAACAAAGGCTGTTAGACCTGACAATCTCATTATGGATTCTAAAAGAGGGTGCAGAACCACTAAGTGGTGTGTCTCTATGGTCTATAACAGGTCACTGGAAACAGGAAATACCTCCAGCATGGGTTCAGGGATGGTAAATCGTGCCTCACAGGTTTAATAGAATTCTATGACCAGGACAAAAATTAGGCAAAAAAGAGAATGTTGGACAGACTGCATTTTCTTGGACTGTCAGAAAGCCTTTGACACAGTACCCCATAATAAGCTGTTACAAAAGTTGGAGAAACAGGCAGAAGTAAAAGATAAGGTGCTCCAGTGTATAAAGGAGTAGCTAAGCAACAGGAAACGGCGAGTAACTGTGGGGAGGGAGACATCAAAATGACGAGATGTCACCAGCAGAGTCCCACAGGGCTCTGTACTTGGACCCGTCCTGTTTCTGATACAATATATGTAAAGGATCTTCCAGAGGGTATAGACTCATTCTTCTCAATGTTTGCTGATGATGCAAAAATTATGAGAAGAATAAAGACAAATGAAGATAGAGACTACAAGATGACCTGGACAAACTGGAGGAATGGTCTAGAAAATGGCTACTACAGTTAAACTCAGGAAAGTGTTCAGTAGTGAAATTAGGCAAAGGGAGCAGGAGGCTGAATACAAGGTACAATCTGGGAGGTGAAATCCTGCAAGAGTCAAATAGAGAGAAAAATCTAGGGGTTGATATCACACCGAACCTGTCCCCAAAAGCCCACATCAAAAGGATATCATCAGTGGCATATGCTAGATTGACCAACACAAGAACTGCCTTTAGAAACTTGGGTAAGGAATTGTTCAATACCTTGTAAACCAATTATATCAGACCAATCTTGGAGTATACAGCTCCAGCCTGGAGTCTATACCTAGTTAAACACAAGACAATGAGAAGATTCAGAGGTATGCCACTAGACTAGTCCCAGAACCGATAGGTATGAGCTACGAGGAAAGGCTATGGGAGCTAAACCTTACGTCTCTGGAAGACAGAAGAGTAAGGAAAGACATGAGAACCACCTACAAAATTCTCGGTGGAATTGACAGGGTGGACAAAGAAAACTATTTAACAAGGGTACAACACGAACAATGGGACACACATGGAAACTTAGTACCCAAATGAGCCACAGAGATATTAGAAAGAATTTTTTCATTATTAGAGTAGTTAAAAAATGGAATGCATTAGGCAATGACATGGAGGCAGATGCCATATACAATTTCAAATGTAGATTTGATAGAGCCCAATAGGCTCCAGAATCTGTCACCAGTTGATTGACAGTTGAAAGGTGGGGCCAAACAGCCAAAGCTCAACTCCCACAAGCACAACTAGGTGAGGACATAAACAAAATGTCCATCATAGCATGATGCACAAGAGAGTATGGAATCAGTGGATGTTTCAAGCTTAACAAGCCACAATGTAGGACTGAGAACAGGAGATGCTTTTTCACCCATAGGGTTATAAACCCATGAAACTGCCTACCCGCCGAAGCCATAATGCCAAAACCCCCGTAAATCCCAAAATCTTAACTTTTAAAATACAGCTGGAAAAGATCATCAAGGCAATTGGAGGGACCTTTGACAAGCTGCCGGCTCTCAGTCTTCATTGAGGCTACTTGTGTTAGTGGATGTCAGGTAAATTCAGGTAAAAACCTGGGTTCTAAGAGCTAGAGCTTACTCCAATCAAACACAAATAAGTAATGTACATTTATTCAAAAACACACACACACACACACAATATATTCAAACAAGTAACTTCGTAAATAATAAATTTTATGTACTGTACTAAAATTATCCAAACAAAAATATCAAAATTATGTGCGACATCATGGTGCTTTGCTTCTAGCTGCATCTGGAGGAAGGTTTTTGCAAAAATATATTACAATTCTATTTGTATTTTAATTATATGACGGGAGTGAAAGAAGTCTCTGAACACCAAAATGTAATCACAGTAGGATAAGTATTTTAACAATCAAAAGCATAACATTATATCACTTCAAATCTCAATTAATTAAATGCAAAGAATAAAAAAAAACTAATCTACAGGTAATTTTTTGTAATAAAATGTGATAATAAAATTAGTGATGGTATTAAGCAAAATTAAAACATATCTAGAATTAGGCAAACAGAAAACTTCTCCATTACACTTAGGCAGTCACTGTGTTTTAACTGCACTTTGTCATTAAACCAATTTGTGCATAAAACAAAAAACATTTACCACGAACACTAATATACAGAGAAGCCTTGTCCTTCATACTATATTTAGCTTCATGATAAAGTTTAGTTGAGGTTAAAAACAAATATTTGGACATTAGAAAACATGAACAAACCCTCTTTTCCACCAGCTGTGATACGACCTCATCTGTGGAAACCAAGAATTTTAAGGCCACCATCGAATCATAACATTTTAATCTCAAACTAAAAGTGGTTACTTGCATAAAAACAGTTATAATGCAAACAAACATTAGACTAAATAGTTGACATTTTGGCTGACCTGCCAAATGTTAACTCCTTAAACAAACCCTACACACAAACATTGTATAATTGCACGAGGATGATCCATATGGATATTGCTAGGCTGCCAAATATTTGATTTATTTTTATTTAAACAAATATATATAAATATTTGTTTCAACGAGTACAGGGTGGTGCAATGAGTACAGCATGGTGCAAAGAGTACAGGGTGGTGCAATGAGTACAGCATGATGCAAAGAGTACAGGGTGGTGCAAAGAGTACAGGGTGGTGCAAAGAGTACAGGGTGGTGCAATGAGTACAGCATGATGCAAAGAGTACAGGGTGGTGCAAAGAGTACAGGGTGGTGCAAAGAGTACAGGGTGGTGCAAAGAGTACAGGGTGGTGCAAAGAGTACAGTGTGGTGCAAAGAGTACAGGGTGGTGCAAAGAGTACAGGGTGGTGCAATGAGTACAGGGTGGTGCAAAGAGTACAGGGTGGTGCAAAGAGTACAGGGTGGTGCAAAGAGTACAGGGTGGTGCAAAGAGTACAGGGTGGTGCAAAGAGTACAGGGTGGTGAAGATGAGTACAGCACAGGGGGGTGGAGATGAGTACAGCACAGGGGGGTGCAGATGAGTACAGGGTGGTGAAGATGAGTACAGCACAGGGGAGTGGAGATGAGTACAAGATGGTGAAGATGAGTACAGGGTGGTGAAGATGAGTACAGAATGGTGAAGATGAGTACAGGGTGAAGATGAGTACAGTACAGGGAGAGGAAGATGAGTACAGTACAGGGGGGTGAAGATGTGTACAGGATGGTGAAGACGAGTACAGGGTGGTGAAGATGAGTACAGGGAGGTAAAGATGAGTACAGGGAGGTGAAGATGAGTACAGTACAGGGAGGTGAAGATGAGTACAGTACAGGGAGGTGAAGATGAGTACAGGATGGTGAAGATGAATACAGGGTGGTGAAGATGAGTACAGGGTGGTGAAGAAGAGTACAGGATGGTGAGGATGAGTACAGGGTGGTGAAGATGAGTCAGGGTGGTGAAGATGAGTACAGGATGGTGAAGATGAGTACGGTACAGGGAGGTGAAGATG